AAAAGCATTTCATGAACCCACACATGGGAGGTTGTGACGTGGCAAGGTTTATTTGAGTGGTAATCTGCCCCTAGGTTTCCAATGTCCCATCTCTGTCTGTCCCACCATGGGTCAAGTCCAACCTTGTCTTCAGTGAGGCCAACACAAAGGCCAGTATCCAGAGTTTCTGCTTCACATTAAAGCTTAGTCCTTCGGAGCCCATGCCATCTGCTGCAAGCCCACACAGCTGCTACACCCACCTGGTTGTGTGTGTTCCGGGGCAAGACAGAAAATGCATGAACAAACAGGGCGAGTGCAAGATCACTGGACAAGAGAGAGAGCTTCTTTGTAACCCTGGAGTTATAACCAGGAGCTTTTCCAAAATATCTAATCAACTGCCCAAGCTTTCACAGGCTCATGATGGGTTTACCCCCTAGTTAGACTGACAGGCCTCTATGAGCAAGCACCAACCCCCGTGCTCCCCAACTACCTGGTACCAGAGGGGCTGGGTGGACAGTGCTCCTGGGAGATTTCCTATGCTCCTAGGATTGTCTCCTCTGAGGCAGAGTGTGAACAAATCCATAAACATTATAGCTTCCTGGCTAAGCAAACAGGCTTATGCCCCCCAGTTTACTGAGCTCAATATCTAATTCCCTCTGTTTCCTTCCTTATTAATAATTAGCTAACTATCTACAGTAACACAACCAGCAGAAAAATCCTTCTTGACCTTTAAGAACATCAGACTCTGGCTCAGGGGCTGACCCAGGGTCTCTTCACCTAGACTGTGCAGATGGTAAAGATCCAAGGAAAACGGGGGAGCACAAAGCTACGCTGAACAGTGGTCCCTGGGAGACAACTATTATGTTTGGAGAAACACCTGAAGTACATGAAGCCTTTTGTAGGGATTCTTAACTTAGGAGGACCTCTTGGAACTGGGTATGATTTTGTGTTTGTATGATGAGCAAATATGTATTTTTCTGGAGTGAAGGTGTTTATCTTTCATCAGATTTTCTGAGAATGAAAGGAAAGAGATTGGATCTGTACAACCTTAACTACATTGTCCAACATGGTAACATCAGCCACCTTTCAAGTGTTCAATGGCCACATGTGGCAGTGGCTGCTGAATTAATGTAAAACATAACATTTCCTCATCAAAAAAAGTTCCATTGGACAGTGCTGCCTTAGATAAATGGTGCTTTCTCTGTGAAATTTCCTTCAGAAGGCTTGGATATCAGACTTTGGCATTCAAATTTCTTCCCAGTGCTGTAGCATACTATAGACCATTGGTAGCCCAATAGATATTGGTAGCCCAATATCTGAACCTGCTGACTACCACCTAGCAGTGACCAGATGCTAGTGACCAGAAGATGCTTTTCTCTGGCCTCTTGACATTCTACCAGCATGAATCCCTATCAAGAAAAAGATGGTAGGTGATATGAATTATTTAGGGATTATGGTGTTTTTTCAGTGACCTCATATTTGGGCAGTCTTCAAAAAAGCATGAAGAGAACATTATAAAGGGCTGGATTAAAACTATCAGTGTTTTCCCTGGCTGATGTGACTCTGTGGGTTGGGTGTCAGCCTCTGAACTGAAAGGTTGCCGGTTCGGTTCCCAGTTGAGGCACATGCCTGGGTTGCAGGCCAGGCCAAGGTCCGGGCTGGGGGAGGCAGGTGATTGATGTTTCTTTCACACTATCCGCCCCCCTTCCTCTGTCTCTGAAAAATAAACAAAATAAAAATTTTAAAAAAAAACTGTCGGTATTCACCAATGATTGACAAAGATGTTGTTTCTCTCTTCTTTTCACATGAAGTTAGTAGATACCCCTATGCATTCAGCAAGGACTGGGGATTACATGGTGGGACAAGGAATTTTGGCAGTTCGTTGCTATTGATGAATGCTAAATTTCTATTCCTATAATTGTTGAAAGAGTTCCGTGTTTGTTGACAGTTCCCAGGAGTACAGCAAAAGGAAACAGACTCAACAGTCCTGCTCCATGATAACGCAGGGAAGTAGCATTGCCTGATAAGTAAGCCTTTGATCCCAAAGGTTTGGAGGCTTTGATCCCAAACCTGTGGTTGAGGCCAGGCTTTGCACTCTAAGCCATATTGTATCATCTGGAAAATGTGGAATACACCCCATAAGATCACGGCAAAGTCTGAATATGATATCCAACTAAATGTGAAGTGCAGTACCTGGTTTACAGCAAGCTCTGAACAAATAGTAGCTATGATTACCTTCTTTCAGGTCTTCATGCTCCGTAATTATTTACTGGGGATGCCTCTGTTTTGGATACCCTGGATTTTTAATTACTGTGAATACTATTTCTTAATTAATGTCTGCTTCCAGCTTGGCCTTTCCAATAGTTCTTCCTGATTTATTAATTACAAGTTAAAGACGCTATGATATGTGGTGTTACATGTAAGCAAAGAGATGGGGCAGCTACTTGTACTGAGGCCTGTGCTAACTGCTGTATTAATTATTGAGATCACTGTATTCATCACAGAGTTATATGTAAGAGGGAAAATTGGAAACAATCGGAATGTTTGACAATAGAGCACTGAAATATTGACATATGGAGGACATCAAAGTGATGTCCTCCATAAATATTTGTTGACAAAGGTAAATGTTTATGATACACTGTGAAGTGAATCAAAGCTAAACACCCCCCATGTCTCAGAATCTTCTATAGACATGTGCCAGGAGACATGCTGGAATGTTTAGTTATGGCTCTGGACCATAGACAACTGAAATGTCCATTAACATCATCATGGACAAATTGTAGTATAGTCACACATGGAATACTACACAGTACTAAAAACAAAAAACCTGTAACTATATTCAACATGAGGGAATTTGCAGGGATAATGTGAAATTAAAAAGCAAAGTACAAACGAATACATGTAGTATGATTCCATGTGTATAAAGATCAAACTGAAGAAAATTTAATTGTATTGCTTAAGGTGATAAACTACAAGGAAAATCAAGGGACTACTTACCATTAAAGTGGGCACCTCTGAGGAATGAGGGTGGGGGAAGGTCATGGGAGGGCAGAGATACTTAAGCAGCTTTGGCACTGTTCTGGGTTGTTGTTTGTTTTTTTTTTATATAGAAGTGCCTTTATAGTATTAGTTAAATTGTATCTTTGTGCCCTAATTTTAATTCCATAATTTAAAATGTTTTAACTTAAAACAAAGACCAAGGGAAAACAAGTACAATACAAATCTACATTTTCCAGTGTGATCTCAGGTTTACAAATTTTTGCATGCATGGGGTGCGGGGTGGGAGAGTGGATCAACAGTGGCTTTCTCTGAGCAGCAAAATGTAAAGGAATTCATATTGTCTTCCTTGCACATTTTGTATTTTCAGTGTTTTACAATTAACAAGAATTACTTGGATAATAAGAATAAAAGCAGAACTACCAACTTCCCAGTTCTGGCTCTTCAGTTTACATCTCTGCATGGAGTCACTTTGAGGAAGAGAAATTTCTCCACGCCTGAGAGAAACAGGGAGGGAGGGATGGCCACACAAGGGAAATCGGTACAAGGAACCACCATGCAGTTGGTCGTTTGTGCCAGCGATAAGGCCTTAGGGGTCTCAGCTGATGGAAACCAGCAGATACTTCCCAGATCACCCAGAGCTCGGACACCTCTGCCTGCTCTCTTTCTTTCAAGGCCTGGAAAATGAGCCAGCAGCTAAGTAAGAAGTAAGAAGTTATTGTGATTCAGTAATCACTATCACTTTTAAACTCATTATTGTCATAACATGTCATTGGGGCATTACATGTATTAATCCCATCTTAACATTCACAAAAATTCTATCAAGTGGGTATATATGCATATTTTACACTGAATTTTACACCTGATTTTACACTGATATTCCAGGGCTTAAAAAAGGCGGAATGACTTGCCCAGATGTCTGAACCCAAAGTCAGTGACTTTTACACTCTGCCACAATTTATCTTTATTCATGCACATGTTGTAAGTTTTCTCGTCTACTGTTTTTGTGGACAAAAAGGGGCCACATACTAGCCTGACAAGCTCAGGGGTGGCCTGCATGGCAGCCTTACAAACTCAGGGACCTAAAGTAACCACAAAGGATGGTCTGAAATTAAAACTTTCTAACTAAAAGCAGTTTATGGTGAGTAGTCATGTCTTAGGTTGGAATCTAACTTGACAAAAGTCCATCTTTACCTAAACTAAGCCTATTGTTTTATTGCATCTAGGGCAACATACCTTTGGAATATCAAAGTAATTTCCTTTTCCAGACCCCTAAGCACAGGCACTGCACCAGAGGGAGACTACAAATCCCCTTCTGGTTATTATTACCCTGTTAATTGTTGAATGTTAACTAGCCTATTCCCACCTCCCTAAAAGAAGTGCCTATCATCTTACTTTTTACCCAATCCCAAAGGTTCCCCCACACCCCACTTTTGCTTTTTCCCTCCTCCATAACCTTTTGCCAATGGATTTCATGTAACTCACTTGTGTCTTCTCTTTTGATTGTAATGTATAAAGTAAGGTACAAAACTGCCATTTTCCAGGGTATTTTCTCAATCTGTTAAGACTCCTTCCTGGCAATTGTCATCGTTTGGTTCTAACAAACTCACAACAATTCTCTATAGATTGGAATATTTCTTACATTGACATTTTATACTCACAACAATCATGTGAAATAGACACACGAATAGTAAGAAGCTATAATATTTTATGTTAACTTGTTCCTTTTTTTCCTGTCTTCATATACATCTAATTACTACAGTTAGGAGTGAACAGTCAGATGCAATCCAAAACTAGCTTTCTCATTCCACCCCCTTTCTTTTTTTGCAAGAGGTCAGGTTAAGACAGAAGAGTAAGGTTTAAGATTCTTCGGGCATTTTGGTTATACTTGATTTGCCTATCAACTTCAGTTCCCAGTTTCCCAGGGTCCTCCTTTCTTTTTTTTTTTCTTTGCCCTAAGGGAGTTAACCTTTTCAGCTCCTTTAAAGGAGTGTACATTCCAAGATCATCTCCAAGTTGCCAGAGAGAACACTCCCAGGCTACCTCAAGCAGTCTCCCCACCCCTTGAGTCTCTCAGTGTTAAAGCTGCTAATATCAAAGCTCCCTGGGAGTGAAAACTTTCTCAACCCTATCTTGGAAGGTGGACCATTTATTTGGCAGAAGGGAGAGGGCAGTGGAATTTCCTCTGAGAAAGGACAGTTATGCAAAATGCCAGGAGGAGGAGGAGAAAACTGAGAAGGGAGTTGGTGAGTCAGAGGAGAAAAGCTGCACGGCTGGGCTATCGGTGAACCTCTCTAAAGCACAAGTATTAACAAGGTAAGAACGGTTTTCTCTGTATACACCCCTAAAGCAGGGCTTTTTATCCCAGGGCTAATGGAGCCCAGCATCAGGTAACCCAGGGCAGCTAAACCGGGACTGCAATGACAATGGTGATGGAAGCGTGCTGGTTCACAACAATCTGGAGAATCTTCCTGAGAAAGCACAAGTTGCCGTCCAGTAACTCCTCCATCCCCACATTGCTCCATCCCTAAAAAAGTTGAAAGAGCCTAGAATGCCAGGGCTGTTCTTATGTATATTTTCTAGCTGGTGCCCTGAAGCATCTAACTTGCTCAGATCCCCATTTCAGAGCTCAAGTCTCTACTTTCTTCAGCTTCTCTGAGTAGATGCTTGGGTGTCAAAGAGCAGTGATGCAGAAAGCTGCAGGTTTTCTCTAACTTAGGTGAAGTGCAGTGTGATAATTGAACACTCTGGGACCTGGGACCCAGGAGACCTGGGTTCTGATTCCAGCATGGCTATTTTCACCATTGAGTCAATTCATTAAACTTCAGTGTACTTATTCTAAAAATATGGGGGTGTGGATCATCACTGTCCCGTACAATTGTACCTTGGAGATACCGTGGGTTTGATTCCAGATCACAGCAATCAAGAGAGTCTCACAATAAAGCAAGTCATAATCTTTTTACTGGTGGAGGTCTTGCCTTCAATTTGTAAAAAATGCAGTATCTGTGAAACGCAATAAAGCGAAGAGCAATAAAATGAGGTGTGCCTGTATATCTAATTGGATTGTTGCCCTAGATGTCAGAGCTTTCAGAGTTGTGGAGCACCATTCAGATGAAAAGTAAGACTAAGTTATGAGGCCAGCACATCAGACAAGGCAGAAGAGACATCTACCTTATATAGCCTTGGACAAGCCTGGAACTTCTAACTGGAACTGAAATATACTTTTTTATGTGCAAAATAAAAATATCTGGCCTCTGCCTTCCTCACGCAGCTCAATGAGGACACTTTAAACAGTAAGAAACGCTTTACAAATGTTCATTCATTCATTCATTCAATTTGTGTTTCTCGAGCACCTAATATGTGCCAGGCACTGTCACTGGCATTAGAGATAAAGCAACAGTGAGGACACAGGTCCTGTCCTCCTGGTGCTTTCAGTTTAGTTACAGTTTGTTACCATGGGCACCTGTTGCCCAGGTGGAGATAAGCACCTGGGTGTTGGTTTCCCTTAACCCAGCTCTGCTCTATTTGTTCTCTCTATTCTCTATCTGAACATATCTTCTGCCACCTATAATTTCAGGTTGTACAGGCATAATCTCAGCAGAGAATCTAAGTTAGCAACGTGTCAGGGGCCAAAATGCAAGGCTCTTAAATTGATGTCCATCTGTTTTTTCCTCAGTTTCTTCATTTTTTTTCTAAAAGGCTATACTGTACCTTTTGGGGGGACATCTATAACTCAGCCCTCTGTAATCAGGCTGCTCAATGAGGCCGGCAAACTGTGCCCCCTGTGCCACCCCAATGTCAAGATCCTAAAGTTCTCATGACTCTTCAATGACAGCCCTGTCCTTTGTGTGCCAAGATGATACCAGCTGTCCATCACTGGGGTGACATCTTTAAATTATTTTGGGGTGGTCATGATGGGATGTACTGAGAGTTTCTTTCTCTTCTTTTTTCCTTTTACCAACTGAGCTGATTACAGCAAGGAAAGTAATCTGAGTTGTGTGTTGCTCTGCAATGGGCCTTTTTTTTTTTTTAGATTTTATTTATTTATTTTTCAGAGAAGGGAAGGGAGGAAGAAAGAGAGGGAGAGAAACATCTGGGGATCTGGCCTACAACCCAGGCATGTGCCCTGACTGGGAATCAAACCGGCAGCCCTTTGGTTCACAGGCTGGCACTCAATCCACTGAGTCACCCCAGCCAGGGCTGCGATGGGGCTTTTATTTCTAACTGATAAATGTTCCTTAAAATAATGTTCATTTCTCCCAGTTTTAATTTAATACATGCTCAGTGTGGAAACTTTTTTCTTTTTGGAGTGAGGTTAGCTGTGCCATATTGCATCAAACTTATACCTCTGACTTACTAATATCTTGCTCCATGCAAATGAGACATTATAGGTTCTATGCTCAATAATCAACAGAGTCACCTAAATATTAGTAACTGATATTAAAGAGACATTCGTGTGCATTTTAGAAAAGGACAAGTTTCAATTTCTGATGTAACTCATTTAGTTATTTGCTTTCTAGCAGTGACTATGCCTCTTCCCACAGTCAACCATTCATTCATTCAACAAGTACTTGATGAGCCCTAATCACGTGTAAGTTGTATGTACCTGTAAATAACATGAGACACAGAGTTTACTCTTAAATTACAACAGCCAGTGGAAGAGACATTCATCTACAGCTGTTTACTATAGAGTGAGAGATGGATGCTAACGAAAATTGGGCACACCTAAATCTCATGGGAAGGGAGATAGCTTCCGGGGAGAAAGCTGGTACATAGGCAGAATCTTGAAGGACTAGTGGTCTTTTGAATGTCTCAGGGCTTCTAAATAACTGGGCAAGTTGGGAAGAACAAGAAGTAAAGTCTGGACCCTAAGCCACCAAAAAGGAAGGGAGTGATGGGAGATGAAAGATTAGATCATCAAGAACCCTGGGTACAAGACTTGGGGATCCAGAGTTAATACTGTATGTGTTGGAAAGTGTGGGGGAGGAAAAATAATTTTCCTTCTACCCTTTTAAGTTCTGGCTGAACTAATAATCAAATTAACACGAGGCCTTAGCTGGGTAGTTCATTTGGTTAGAGTGTTGTCCCAATATGCCAAGGATGTGGTTCTATCACTGGTCCACATACAAGAATCAACCAATGAATGCATAAATAAATGAAACAACAAATCGATCTCTCAAATCAATCAATACAAATTTTTTTTAAAAAAAATTAACATGAGACAGATTAACAGAAGAAAATGACCAAATTTTCACATGGGGGGTCCATAAGAGTATGAGACCCGAGGACTGATTGGGCAGTTAAGGCTTCTATGCCATCTTGAGCTAAGGAGAAGGGAACAGTAGGGGGTTTAGGTTAGGACTTCAAAGGGGAGGAAGTAAATTCACATAAAGATAGAAAAGCTAACATTTTGTAAATAAATATTTGCTGGGACATTTTTAACAATGGGGCACAGAGAGGACTTTGATCATACTTAGTTTATATTAAACTATAATTATCCATCAACAATAGGTTCCCTTCCTGGAAACAAGTCTTCTATCTAAATTCTTTTATTCAGTTAAGGAAAAGGTTAATGATTCTTTCTGAGTCTTTTGTTTCTTTAAAACAACCAGCTTAAAATAATATTTTGGAGTGACAAACTCTGCTTCCCTCAAAAATTATACAAGGATTTTAAGGAGGGGAATGACAAACTTGTGCTTTAAAAAGGTAGTTTTTTTGGCAACAACGAATGATGAGGAGAGCTGAGAGACAGAAGAGGCTGCTCACTGTCAAAGCCAGGCTAGAGATGAGCAGAGTTAGGGGTCCTGCAACAGGGAGGGTGGCATTCAAGCATGCAATTGAACAGCCAGAAAAGAACACTCAGGAAGGTGGACTAGAGACTCTGAGATGGAGTCAGGTCACAGACTTCCCCAAAATGCTTGTCAGCTCCAAGGACTACGGAGGAGGTAAGCACAGAACAGTCAGGGAAAGGTGTTGGCTCGTTTAGAAGAGATTGCCATAAAAAGCCTCGGGTTTCCTTTTCTTCAGGGAGCCACATCACCTCACTCCTCCCAGGGTTTCGGGAAGGTTCATCTTTACCACTGATTACAGTATCTGCAGGAACAAGCTTTGCCCAAGACACACCTTAAAGTATCTCTAGCTGTTCTGGTCATTCTGTTATGGGTTGCCAAGATCCAGAATGTGTCTAGATTCTAATGACAAGAGATGGGACTCACTATACAAAATCATACTTTCTGCCCAGGGAAAGAAAAAGCAGAGAAAGAAGTCAGGGTTTCCATGGGAATTCCTGAGAATCATGGACAACTGGGGACAGAGTTAGAGACCCAGCTCCAGCCCTGGGAGAGAGTGGGCCAGAGGCCAGGTGCTACTGGCAGGCAAGGAGGGCTCAGAGCCATCGAGCCCACTCAGGGCACTGAGTTGGCTAAAAGCCAGGATAGGGGGAGGGAAGGAGTAACTTTGCAAAGTTTACTTTTCTAGTCCCAAGGAAATGTTAGTTTTTTCCTGGGCTGATTTTAGACCCTGCTTATAAAATTCTATCCCAGTTTCCTTAAAATTGTGCACAGGTCAATTTCTTCTCTCCTTTACATTCCCCTCTCTCTTGCTCCATTGTTTCCTATCTTTGTTCCAAACTTATCCTCATGCTCACATTGCCTTTGGAGAAGACCTCTTGCTAAAGTCTTTGTGGTGTGGGGTGGGGGACATGGGGGTGGGGGGAAGAGGGTGGGCCATTATCAATAATGGCCTAGTTTCTGATCATTTCCTCTTGGGCTCAATTTTAAATGAACTAGGCACACACCTTAGCCATTCCTGTACTAACCTAAGGGGCCAAGACAGGAATTACCACTCACTGACATTCTCCTCATATATAGCAAAGTGCTTTTCGGCCACCAAGGAGAGATGATCCTCACTGGATCCTTTGGGCACATAGGGAGGAAATGCACTGTTGTAATGAAAGGAAGAGAGGGGTTTCTGTGTCACAGCCACACAGGACTTGGCCTAGGTCATCGCACACTTCCCAGAAGGTTTAGGGGACTTCCATGGAAAGCCCATGAACTGGCAAAGAATGTTCTACCTCTTCAGGAAGCCAACAGTAAACTCCGAGCATCACATCTGTGGCTGCCCAATTCCTTCTCTAAACCCCACTCCCTAGAATTGCGGAAGCTGTACACACAGAGAATGATTTTTGACCAGTGTGAAGGCTTTATGAGCAATAGATATCAAAGGTACATATCAAACCATGAGTACATATATCCATTCGCACAGTTTATGACCAGAATGAAGGTTTTACAAGCAAAACATAACAAAAGCACATATGTCTATACTCTTTGACTTAGCGATTCTACCTCTGGGTAATAAATGTGAACATAAAGGTCATTATTGAAGTTTTTGAAATGGTAAAAGGCTGGAAATAACTCAAAAGCCCATCAATGAGGAAACTGGTTGAATAAATTATGGTGTACCCACACAATAGAATTCTATGTAGTGGTAAAAAGGAACAAGGAAACATTTTAGGTAAGGCCACTGAAAACTTTCCAAGACATATTGTTATGTTAAAAAAGCAAGGTGTAGCACATGTGGATTACCTTGCTACTATTTGCATTAAGGAGAGGGAAAAAATTTAGAACACATGTACATTTGAATTTTCTTGTTATGCAAAAAGCAACTGAAAGGACACATTCAAAAGAGACGGTGTTGCTACCTCAGAGCAAGTTTAGAGATAGGCAGATGGAGGATGGATGTTAGAGGTAGACTTCTCACTGACAGTGATGACAAAAAGACCAGCTAAGAAGTAAATATTAGCTTTCAGTAAACAGAGATGATGTTACTGATTCAGAAGCTGATAAAAATTTTAGGTGTTCTTTCCCTCAGAACGATACCATGACCCATTTAAAAAAGTATGTCATTGCCCCTATCTACAAATAGCACTAGTTTTCTAATTTATGACTTTAGGCCTCCTCCACAGACATGCTGCGTGTCACAGGAGTTCCCCTCACCTATCACGTGACATGTTAAAGACCTGGAGTGTGACAGGCAAGGCTGTGGGTTGACAGGTACTCCCCTTATTTCTTTTCTGCATGCAGAATCTTAGGAAGCCTTCTTTTAAATTCTGAGCCTGTGCATTTAATGTCCATAATAATGATACTTTTTTGTATATTGTTTTTGTTTATTTGATTGGTTTTTAAAATTTTCTAATTATAGTTAATATTCAATATTATCTTAATTTAGTTTTAGGTATACGGCGTAGTGCTTAGACATTTATATAATTTATGAAGTGGTCCCCCAATATTTAATGCTTTTTAAAATAATTTGAACCAGTGACTATCACCTATTAAGAGCTTTTTAAAAAACTGATGATAAGACCTGTCACCAGGAAAATAGCAAACTCTAAATCCAGCTCCAGCTACTGTCTAGAAATATACCTTCTCTTTTTTATTAAAGCTTGAAGGAAGAACTTCTGGGTTATATCCTGACATGCAAATTAGCACCTCGCTACTATTAATATTTCACCCTTTGTGAAATAGCTATTTTATGCCTTAATAGTTATGTGTGTCAGGAAGTCACCCCAAAAATACAGAATCATCTTAACCCCTTAAAGAAGGTTAAGATCTCCCTTGGAATAAATCCTAGCATGGCACTGAGAACTATGGTCTCTTCACAGAGAGCGAGCCCTGAGTGTGGCAGGAGTTAAGTTCGGGACCACCACCAGTCTGTATGAGCGTTAGAGCGAAATGCAAAGTAAAGTTCACTTCTCTAAATATCTCACATCTAACAACTGCAAATCAATCTAATATACTCATTCTGTTGGGTGAAGATACTTCACTGTCACCTACCAGAACATTTTTTTAATAATAAACCTTAAACTCGAGATGAGATGGCATTCCCTGGGGTTGTACAGTACACGCCTGCCCCACCACACGGGGCAGCCCTGAGCAGGATGTGTCCAGGGGTCAAGCACTGCCCCCAGCAGCAGCAGCACGGTCACTGACAGGCCAGTGTCACTACTGCAGCTCTCAGGTTGGCTTGCCACACTTTATAGAGTTGGCTGTTAAGGAGACGATTCAACCTAAATAGTTTCAGGTAATTTATTACCTACACATATGTGGGTCCGCATTGGGTCAGCTCCTCATATCCCTAGTCCCACGGGATGAGACCAAATCGGGGGGGACCATGTGACAGTGAGGCGATAACTCCAAACTAAAGCCAAGCAGCTTTATAGTGTGCAGCCACATTAGGGGACCGAAAGTCCTGTGCTTAATTGAGATAAAGGAAGATAGTGTGGGGATCTCAAGGTAGGAGGGTGGGTGATGGCCTCATGGCAGTTCCTCCCAAGCCACCTCATCTTCCTTCATTTCAGAAGGAATCACAGGGCTTTCAACCAAAACTTGGGCCAGACTGCAGTTAAGCTTTGCCTCATGGCCTGTGTGAAGATGTCACCAGGGTGCCAGGAGGGGGCTGTTCCCCTACATTGATGAAATATGGCTGAGTTCAGACATTTTAGTAATTCAATGAACAAGAGAGACCAGGAGAAAGAAAGTAAAGAGCCTAAAACAAATAGAACTTATTTCCAAGGGACAGGAACGGATTCTCAGGAGGATTTGTGCAATTGCTTACAAGAAGACTCCAGCTCTCTGCACTGCTCATTGGTGGGAGTCAGGGAAAGGTGGCTTTAGCTAGAAAGGGGATAGAAGACAGACACCAAAACAACAGCCTATCACAGCCCCTCTGCTTGTTCCTTAAAGGTCTTCCACTTCAGCAAGATGATACTGCCCAAAACAATGCCACTGCTGTTGTTCCTGGTCTCCCAGATAGCCATCTGCCTCATATTCACCCATTTTTACAGCTTCAACTTCAACTCCCCATCTACAAGGGAGGGGCTCAAGAACACGCACGTCTTGGTCCTGTCTTCCTGGCGCTCTGGGTCTTCTTTAGTGGGGCAGCTTTTTGGGCAGCACCCAGATGTCTTCTACCTTATGGAGCCTGCCTGGCACATCTGGATGACCTTCACACAAAGCACACCGTGGAAGCTGCATATGGCGGTGCGGGATTTGATACGTGCCATCTTTCTGTGTGACATGAGTGTCTTTGATGCCTACATGGAACCTGGTCCCCGAAAACAGTCCAGCCTCTTCCAGTGGGAAACCAGCCGGGCCTTGTGTTCCCTGCCTGCCTGTGACATCTTCCCGCAGGATATGATCATACCCCAGGCTCACTGCAAGCTCCTGTGCAGTAAGCAGCCCTTTGAGGTGGTAGAGAAGGCCTGTCGCAACTACAGCCACGTGGTGGTCAAGGAGGTGCGCTTCTTCAACCTGCAGGTGCTCTACCCACTGCTGAGGGACCCTTCCCTCAATCTGTACATTATACACCTGGTCCGGGACCCCCGAGCGGTGTTCCGTTCCCGAGAACACACCAAAGGGGAACTCATGACTGACAACAAAATTGTGATGGGGCAGGAGTGGCAGAAACTCAAGGAGGATGACCACCCCTACTATGTGCTGCAGGTCATCTGCCAAAGCCAGCTGGAGATCTATAAGGCTGCGCAGACTTTGCCCGAAGCCCTCAAGCGGCGCTACCTGCTCATGCGCTATGAGGACCTGGTCCGGGACCCCCTGGCCCAGACTGCTCGAATGTATGAATACGCAGGGTTGAAATTCTTGCCCCACCTCCGGACCTGGGTGCGTAACATCACTCGAGGCAAGGGCATGGGTACTCATGCCTTCCTTACAGATTCCAGGGATGCCCTCAAAATTTCTGAGGCCTGGCGCTGGTCCTTGCCTTACGAAAAGGTTTCTCGGCTTCAGAAAGTCTGTGGTGACATCATGAAGCTGTTGGGCTACCGCCTTGTCAGATCAGAGCAAGAGCAGAGGAACCTGTCACTGGATCTTCTGTCTGCCTGGAACCCCACTGGGCAGTTCTATGAAGAGGATTAGGAGGCTCCGTCTCCACTCGGCACCAGCCTCAGCCACGTTAACTGAAGGCTGCTTCTAAACCTTAATCACCCATATTTTGCCACATATAATGAGCTTCCGTGTATAATGCATGCCCACGTTTTTGTGTGCATTATACACAGGATTATTACACCCATTATTATACCCATGGTATATAATCATTATACCCAGGTATAATGTGCATCCTTATTTTTCCCTCAAAAATTTGGGCAAAAAAGTGCACATTATACACAGCAAAATATGGTATGTCTCTACCTGTATATATGTGAGCACAAGTTGTGTCCACACATGCTCAAGCTGAGAAATCTTTGTAGCTCTACTGAGGTCTAGAAAAGAGACTCAGTAACCTTATGTGAGCAGCACATTCCCTCACTGAAAAGGGAGTACTGCCACCTTCTCTTCTTGGTCTTCCTATTTGTGTATACTTCAGAGACTTCATGGCCTGGGGTCCTATTTGGCACTACACAGTATCAGTGGAGTGAATCCACTAATTTTTCTGCCCATATATTGCCCAGTGGGGAAGGGGGGTGAGAGGAAAAATCAGGGAAATGGGTCTTCAGCACAGATCCCACTAGTGCATTCCACAGGGATGTGAACTCTGAGCCCTGGGAGCTCCCAGTGGATTCAAAAAGGGAATGGGGAACAGGGCTGGACGCTTACCCATGAGTCTGGCCATCACAATTATCCATTATTGCAAATACGAAACAAAATCTGGGCACAACAGAGCAAGCTCTTAAGTTCATGGGGTGGTTGGGCCGCATTTAGATGCCACTTCTCCACACTGTTTTCTTACTACATGGAAGATTTTGACCTGTGAAGCTGCTATTAAGGTTAAAATTCCAAAATAAGATTGTGCTTGGAATGTCCCCTTTGCATGTTCTAATTTTCTTAACAGTAAATGCTCATTTTTAGAGGACATAATCTAACCTAACCTAAGAACATAATCATCTTCATATATATCTTTTTCTTTTGCTGTTATCTACCACCCACACAGAAAAATTACCAAGACAATGTTCAGTGTCAGATGACAAAGTCTAAACTGATCAACACTAATTGATACATTTCCCTCTTAAGAAGTTGTAGAAAGTAGATAACTAGCAATTAAGCCCTTTCTCGTGTGAGGCATAAGTTGTAATATTACCATATGCATCAATCTAGGGTCTGGGCAAAGAATTCAGGTTCTACCTCAGTCCTGGTATAGTAGGTGCTATTTAGCTCTTCCTGGTCACCTCTCCTAACAAGAAGGGATGTTTCTCCCAGTTTTTGCAACATTCCTCAGATCTAGTTGTGCATTACCATCAGTTAAAAATTTATTTTGCCATGGCTTACCTTATATTTGCTGGAATAGGAATCTCCCAGGGTGAGGGATGGGAAGTATATATATATATATATATTGCAAGTAATCCAGGTGACTCTTCCATGGCCAGCCTGGCAACAGTATAGCCTGCCCTAGACAACAGCACTGTTAGCCTTCTTGCTCCAAGACAGGTGACTTTCCATGACATGCCAAATACCTATAACACTCACTCCTGACACTGGTGCTGTCCTCAGGCTGGAGGGAACAGGAAGAAGGTCTGTATCTGTCTGGAATTCCTTGGTCCTCTGAGTCTTAACTTTCTAAATAGTTCATTGTCCAAACCTGAGAAATAATGTCATTTCATCTTTCCTTGTGTTCCCACTCCCATTCTGACATGGTCCTCACATCATAAAGCTCCTTGAACGTCAGATGGGGGTCTCTCCCCCTCTCTTCTGCCAAGCAGCTTTTGGGCTTATCGCCACCAAAGACGGTTGAGTAGCTACCTTTGCCAGTTGGGTCTTTGGAGTTAATTTATATGGGGCTTTAAAGAAGTGAATTTATTCTAACACCCAATCCTAAGCCACTCTAGACACTCCTCAAGAGCCTAGGATCTCCCAGGCAAATGCTCTGGCCTCTACAAACATTAAGACAGTGTAGCATAAAATCACGCTATGTCACCTCTTTAAAAATACAGTGTTGAGAGATACTTAGTGAGCAATGGAACAGTCTCCTGGCCATGCGTTCTGGTGGCTGACACTGGATTCAGTGATGACAGTGGCAGTACACCCGCCGCGGGATATGGGGAGTCTGGGGAGCTGAGAACCTGTGAGGAGCGTAGAAGATGGTGTTCTGGGAAACAGCCTTTCTAATTTAGAGTCATCTGTTCCATCCCCAAATCCCAGCAACAGAGAAGGCATCTGCTTGTCTCCTCAGCCTATTTAGCTACATGGGGCCTGAGGATGTTCAAACATAGATGAGGGATGAATTTGATCCGAATTTCTCAGGGCTAGTATTCAGATTTGGGGAACAAGGTCTCTTGTGTCTAGATCAAGCATAATGGCCTCAACTGCCTCATTTCATGGTTTTAAAAAAATCATACTAGGTAACTACCCTAAGCTCTCCACTTTGGGGAGAGAAAGGAGTCAAACATTGTAAACATTGTGAACAGTTTTTTTTGGAGGGTGAGAAAGATACTTTTGAAACAAAGCAGTTTTCACTGTAATTTACTGTTACTATGTGGCTTCATTTTCTACACGAGAGCAATCGCTAAGTTTTTAGTAAATGTTAATCAAAACTATTCTTTCAACTTATGAATAGTAGTTATGGAGAGAGATGGGAAGGTTAACTCAACTTGTTATTTTTGTGCAAAAATCTGCCATTATTTTGTCTATAACATGTATCTCAGAAAATGGTTTATAATTTACTGTGATTTAAACCCAAGCTACATATAAATTAATTTTACTATGTACATTATCATGACTTCTATTAAATTACTTTCACAAACCAGCAAAGCAAAATTAAAAATGAATATATATGAGTGGCATAGGCCAATTAGCAATAAATCTCTGATAATCATTAGCTGGGGATCCTCAATACCCTGGGATTTCTGCTGAGGGCTATGCCCCTCTCGTGCATAAAATGTTCCTGGTCATTCAGAGAAAGGTTATTTTTTAAGTACAGTATTGAGGAAAAGTAATTATAAATAACCAGAGTAAACAGATTTGAATACAGCATTTAAGTTAAAGGGTTTCTTCATTCAGTTCATACATTTAATGGACATCTACTACATGTCGAGGAATGTCTGAGGTGCTATGGACACAGCACCAAACAACAGGCAAAGCCCCTCCTTTCGTGCAGCTTATATTGCAGTCATGCTATGTCTCCCACCTGGAATACCCCACTCTGTCCCACCCCAGTTTCTCTGGCTTGTTTTTGTGATCCCCCAGTTCACAACTAAAGCACCTCCTCTGGGATTTTTCCTGCTTTTATCCTTAAGCCTCTATTGAGTGTCACTTATACAGGCTTTCTACTATCATAAAATTACCATACTATAATAAAACCCTCCAATTTACACATTTTAGCTCTTTGAGGGCAGACACTACCTTTTTCACTCTGGTATAACCAATGCCTAGCACAGCTCCTAGCACACAGCAGGCACTCAATAATTTGTTTAATGAATGAAACGATCTCGTCTGCATTTTTGTAAAGGGCTCATTCTTTATGTAATACTTAGATAAATGGCCAATCACAGAATCTTCTATTCTGAGAAACACAGTGATGTTTAAAGAATCAAATAAGAGAGCTGACATTTAAAAGTTTCCTGTTTGAGAGAAAGAAGGGAAGTTGAATCTTAAAGCCGACAGCTCAGAAGTGCTGAGTCGAGCGGGGTGGCAGGTGGAAAGGGGGGAATAAAGCAGAGATCCAAGAATTAGGTTGACTAGTGTTTCTAATAGTGATATTACCAAGGCAAGAGATCATTGTGTTGGTTTTCTGCGGAGCTGCATGTGTTCGCAGGGTACAGCATGTGAACTCATGAAGTGCCACCTAGAAGCATCTGGCAAATATTTGCTTACTGATTGCCTTCCAATTGGTTTTTAGCCAAATCTCCAAGCAGAGAGTTTCTGGCTTGTTTTTTATTGCCTCTCCACCATCATGTTGGCAAAGGACAGTTAAAGGAGTGGCCTAGGAGAATAGAGTCATCTTTGGTTCTTTCTTGTCTTCCACTGTCAACATCCTATTCATCAGCAGAGCCTGTCAGCTTGACTTCCAAAATATACCCCGAATCAGACCACCTCTCCCCGCCTCCAATGTTACAGTGTGCATCCAAACCAACCTCAAACGTCACCTGAATTACTAACAGAGCCTCCTAGCCGCCTTCTTGTCTCTTCGTGCCCTCCACAGTTCGCCTTCCATTTACTAGCCACAGTGACCTACCTCAAGGGTAAATTAGATGTCAATTCTTTGCCTACAGACCTCCAGTAAATAGCCCAGGTGACTGTAAATTGGAGAATGGACCCAAAAAATGGTAAATTCATATCATGCAATAATGTTCAGCAATAAAAAGAAATGAACTACTGGTTCCTCCAACATGAATACCTCTCAAAAGCATCAGGGTAAAAGTTTTACAGGAAGGAGTTTATACTGTATGGTTTCTTTTACAGACAGTTCCAGAACAGGAAAGACTAACATGGTGGGGAAGAATCGTAACAGTAGTTACCTCTGGGGGACAGGAAGTGGTGGTAATTGACTGGGAAGAGACGTGAGGGAACTTTGTTGGGGGCAGGAGGAATGCAAATGTTTTATATCCTGATAGGAGTGTGGGTTGCCTAGGTGCATGAATTTTTCAGAATTCAATGACTGTGAACTTAAGATTTACATATTTCATTGTATATAAATTTTACCTCAAAATTAAAAAAACTGCAAATACTGAATTCTACTTTGTAAGTTATATGTCTAACTACTACACTGTACACTTGAAACTAATATAATATTGGATGTCAATTGTAAGTAAAAAAATTCTAGTTAATGGCACATATGCTGGAAAATTTAGAAGTTACTGATGTAGATAACTTGCTCCGCAATGCATCCAAAAACACAGCAAAGTGAATGATTCACAGGTGGACAGATATACAATAAAATAACTATAACAAAATGTTAATGGTAGAATATTGGTAAGGAGAAAATGAGTATCCACTCTGAAAACCTTTCAATTTTCTTGTTTAAAATTGTTCATACTAATTGCATGGGGGAAATAAAAACCTCTATGGCCACCACACTTCTGGAATGGCAGTGTGAGGAACCCATCTGACACTTTTCCCACTGAAAGAAACATTTAACTAGAGAAAATTATGAAAACCAACCACTTCCAGTCTCTGGATATTGTCCTTTGAGTAAACAGCATCTGCAGAAACACGCATCCAAGAACATTCAGCAGACCTTGATCAGAACAGTAAGAGTCCGTGGCATGTGAACCACCGCCTGGCCCCATCTCTTCCCCACTTTACGTGAAGGAAGTTCTGCTCCAGGCAGGGTGGCCAAGAAGACAGGGCTCCCTTTCCCCTTAGCTCCCAGTTTAGGATTTCTACCCTAGGAGTGGCTGGTGGCCAGCATATCAGCTCTTTTTCAGGCAGGGGACTGGACTGGGACTTCCACCCAAAACCCACTTCCCACCTGTAGGGCATGAGCTCTACCTGGGCACAGAGAGCTGAGGATGTGGGGCACCGAGGCCTCCACCCTAGCTCACTCACAGATTCTGTGCCAGGAAAGGCAAACTGAACGATTAGGGGCTACCATTCACATCCAGTGCCCTGCTGGTGGAGCAAGGCAAGGGTGTCATTTCAGAAGAAGTAGATTATAGTCCCTGCTCTAGGGGGTGGGGAGGGGGAAGAGGGGAAGGGAGGAGAGAGGAAAAGGAAAGGTGGTAAAGATTACAATATGGAAAACCAGTGTCATTTGAAATTGTAAAAAAAATTTTTAAATAGACTATTGATTACGCTATTACAGTTGTCCCAATTTTTCACCCTTTGCCTCCCTCTTCCTAGTACCCCTCTTCCCTCCAGCAATCCCCCCCTTAGTTCATGTCCAGGGGTTATGCATATAAGTTCTTTGGCCTCTCCATTCCTTATACTATTTTCTATTTTTAACATCCCCCTGTCTATTTTGTACCTACCAATTTATGCTTCTTTTTTAAAAGATTTTATTTGTTTATTTTTAGAGAGAGGAGAAAGGAGGGAGAAAGAGAGGGAAAGAAACATTGATGTGTGAGAGATACACGTATTGGCATGTGCCCCAACTGGGAATGGAACCGGCAACCTTTCAGTTTGCAGGCCGGCACTCAAGCCACTGAGCTACGCCAGCCAGGGCAAATACACTGACATTATTCTACATTCTCTCTACTCTTGTATATGTTTGAAAGTTTTATAATTAAAAAAAATTTTTTTAAGTAGTCTCAAGACTGATAGCTACCAGTCTCACCAAGAGGCACTTGTGGTAGGAAAGTATAATCAGAAATGCTGTGTATCTGCCCCAAAGTGAAGGCTGAATGGAAATAGGCAAGAAATGCCCTGGCTGGCATAGCTCAGTGTATTGAGCACAGGCTGCAAACCAAAGTGTTGCAGGTTCAATTCCCAGTCAGGGTACATGCCTGGGTTGCAGGCCATGACCCCCAGCAACCACACATTGATGTTTCTCTCTCTCCCTCTTCCTCCCTCCCTTCCCTCTCTAAAAACAAATAAATAAAATCTTAAAAAAAAAGAAATAGGCAAGAAATAAGGTTTATGGTCCAGAAGTAAGGTTAAGTGAAGGGTACATTCCTTTACTTAATCCAGCACCTTAACTAAGTGACAGCACATAGCGGCATCAATCATGGGATAAACTGGTATTGTATGCCTCCTGGTGGAATGTATGGGAGGAACACACATCACTGCTGAAAATGTTTAACTCAAACCTAATCATGAGTCAGTGGTCAAACACTGGGACATTCTATCAGACAACGGGCCTGAACTCTAAATTGTCACTATCATGACAGGCAAAAAAATGTTTTTAACAGACAAACTGCTTTAAATTAAAAATGACTAAAAATATTTGACATCTAAATGCAATGGGTGAACTTTGATTGGACATAGATTCAAAAAAGAAAGGCTGGAAAAAAGCCATTATTGGAACAATTAGAAACTTTAAGAATGGACAGTGTGCTAGATATCGCTGAAAAAATATTAAATGTTTTGGGTATAACTAAAAAAAAATAAAACCAATCTTATGAGGTAAGTGGCAACCCTTTTTAGGAACTGGAAAACTGAGATTCAGAGAGATAGGGGGTCTGTGCAAGAACCCACAGCAGTTAATGGCAGTGGCGAACTGGGTCCATATCTCCCTGCCTCCAGAGCATGAGCTCTTGGCTGATAGATGCTATTCCTCCGCTGCAGCCCCAGGAAGTAAGACATAGGACTGTGGTCTACAGTGTGTCCCAGGGAATGGTAGTGGCTAAAGAGGGTACAGAGGCACCATCATTCACTGTTGTCACAGCACTGGCAGTCATTCATTTATTCGAAATTAATTGTTGGGTGACTATGATAAGCAAAGGCAGGCATTCCCTGGACTCAGACTGCAGCCTAGTGAAGGAGACAGACATCACTCAAATGTTGGAACCATTCAAAGGAATGTATAGTAATGAAAGAAAATAAGAGCAATGATGAAAAGAAAGTTGACCAAAAGTGGAGGGTCAGAAGAAGACTTCCACGAGTTGTGCTCTGAAGAATGAATAGAAATTAATGACACAGACAAAGGAAAAAGTAAGAGCAAAAACTCTATGGCAAGAGGGGGAAGCCAGACCTTACAGCAGGGAAGGCCCAAGAGCTAGCAGGTATGTGGTAAAAAGTGAGCCTGGAGAAAAGCGGGTAGCTCCAGACTATGGACCCTGAAGGCCATGCTAGAGAGTCTATTCAATTTTTAAAGCGAAAGTTATTAAGGGGGTTAAGCAAGTGACAAAATCAGACTTCATGTTAAAACAAAAACAAAAACAAAAAACACCACTTTGGCTGCAATGTTGAGAGGATGGCTAGACAGAATAGGTGTTGTTAGATCAGTTAAGAGACTGTGGCAGCCAGGGGTCACTTGGACTAGAGTGAGCAGTGGAGATGCAATGCCAGGTCTAAGGCGTATTTGGGAGGACTGGATATGGGGAAATGCAGTAGAGGTTGAAGGTGACTCTTAGGTTTCTAGCTTATGTGTGGATGGAGATGCCATTCCCTGAGAGAAAGGACACTGAAAGAAGGCCAGATTCAGGAAGATTTGAGCGAGCTTTTGGATATGAAGAAATGGTGGTGCTTTTGAGACCTCCAGGTAAAGATGGGAGGAAGCAGTTAGATGTGCAAGTCTGAAGTTCAAGAAAGAAGTCTAGACTAGACATGTACATGGGGAACCCACAACTTACGATTACTGAGGTAGGGATAAGAAAGGGAGGATTCAGCCAATGGAAACCTCTGGGATTTGATGATTCATAAAGAGAAGGCAGGAGCTGATGCAGAAGTATCGGAAGGGAGAAGTGGAGGGGCTGAGTGAGGATCCTGAGGGACAAGTTGTAGGCTGGAGGAAAGCCTTAGTGTTGTCCCCTGCCTCTAGACGCAATGCATTCCTGCCAGTAGTGGCATCCTCCTCACCAGTGCTGGAGGACAGCCCACCTTCTTCTCGCCTCCTGGCAGGTTCTACCACTCACCCTCCAGGCAAGCCTTGGCCTGCAGCCTGCACGCCTGCAGCCCCTGCTTCATGGGAAAGTGCTCTAGTCCTGGGCTTTCCTCCTGGTGTTCCTCAAACTATACCATAATTTATTTATTAATCAATTAACCTAGCTATTAAACAATCCCTTAGTGATGGGCAACATTTATGGGCAAAAATTATGGTAACCATACTATGGAATACTATGTAGCAGGAGAGAGAGAGAGAGAGAAATTTTTCTGTGTGCACATATAGAATGCCCCCAAAAGCAATATATAAAACTGTGATTTCATGCTCTCTTTTGTACTGGGGGAAGAATTTAAACCTGTATTGAAATTTGTATATGTCTAGAGACACCATGGAATACATGAGACTAAACAGAGTCACAGGGGATAAGGTAGGTCGGATTGGGAAGATGAGGAATAAGGATGAAAGGAGAACTTCTACTATACAACTCTTTATACTTAAAATTTTCTGAATTTTGTGAATGTATTACCTATTCAAAAAAATCAAATTTAAAAACTTGGAAAAATGATGTTTTCCAATGTAAGTTTCATGAGGTACATATTTCATATTTTTAATGAAACTGATTTTACCTACTATACTATTCTTATCATTAATCTTTTCAAGACAATTATAGATTCATAAGAAGTTGTGAGAAATAATACATAGAGATCCAGTATACTCTTTACCCAGTACCTCCCACCCCATGATAACTTCTTTTTTTTATTTTTTAAATATATTTTATTGATTATGCTATTACAGTTGTCCCATTTCCCCCCTTCTCTCCCCTCCACCCTGTACCCCCTCTCCCACCCACATTCCCCCCCCTTTAGTTCATGTCCACGTGTCATACTTATGAGTTCTTTAGCTTCTACATTTCCCATACTATTCTTGCCCTCCCCCTATCTATTTTCAACCTACATTCTATGCTACTTATTCTCTATACCTTTTCCCCCTTTCTCCTCCTCCCACCCCGCTGTTGCTAACCCTCCATGTGATCTCCATTTCTGTGGTTCTGTTCCTGTTCTAGCTGTTTGCTTAGTTTCTTTTGGTTTTGCTTTAGGTGTGGTTGTTAATAATTGTGAATTTGCTGTCCTTTTACTATACCTATTTTTTCTTTATCTTCTTTTCTTAGATAAGTCCCTTTAGCATTTCATAAAATAAGGGCTTGGTGATGATGAACTCCTTTAACTTGACCTTATCTGACAAGCACTTTATCTGCCCTTCCATTCTAAATGACCATGATAACTTCTTGCAAAGCTATAGTATGACGTCACAACTAGGGCATTTTCATTGGTACAGTCAAGATATAGACAATTTCTATCATAACTTTGTGCTATTTTTTTAGTCCTGAGGATGTGTGACCTAGTAAATGAAACAACACACTATACAAATCATTGCATCTAGTGTAATTCCACTTTTTAAAAAAATGTCTGAAAAAAAATCCAGCACAGCAAAATGGGAATATTGGTTATCTCTGGACAAGAGGATTACTGGTGGTTTAACTTTTTCTTTTTTGTTTTATAGTTGTTTTCTTTTTTTTTTTGAGGTTAAATTCATGTAACGTGCAATCAAGCATTTAAAACTGTATGAATCAGTGGCATTTAGTGCATTCACAATGTTATGCAACTACCTCTCTTTAGTTTCAGAACTTTTTCCTCACCCCATATCCATTAAAAAGCTTAATAACCTTAACTCCCCTCCCCTACCCCCTGACCTCTAAGCTGCTTTCTGTCTCTACAGATTTACCTATTTTCCAGATATTCTGTACAGAAAGAATCATACATTTCATTACATGGCTCTGCCTTTTCAACTCAAGGCTTCTAAGGACACGCTGGTGTAGTATTTGTAAAAGGATGGTCAAAGCAGGGCTGAGGGCCTGGTGAGCCTGGAGACCATGCACCAAGGACACAATTTACCTTATTTTTATTTTAAGTATAGAAATAGAGGAGATTCAGGGTTAGATTAATTTCATGTACAGACTTTGTGTGGTAGATGCTATACAGAAAGATAAGGAAGCTAACAAGCTGAAGTGGCTGCTAACAATGTGAGCGAATATTGCACCATGGGTATATACTGGAAAGAAATAGGTGAGTAACAATGCAAAGGAGTTAAAGAATTTAGTGGAAACATAGGGAGAGATTAGAGGGCTGAATAAACGTCAAGGTGTAAATCTGTCTGAGTTGAAGAGTGAGCTGGTTGTGGTGAGTAAATTAGTCACTAGGGTTTAAGATTCCTAAAATAGTCGAGTTTGAGATAATGATAAAGAACAAAGGTGTGGTTTTGGGAGTGGACAACCAGACGGGGTAGGGTTTATATCTCCTTTTGGTTCGTGATTGGCAAGAGGCCTTGATGTCGGTCATAGGGTGTTGGTCAGGCCATCCACAGAAATACTAAAATTTCACACATGTCAAGGACCTAAGTAAATAAAAAGAATGTGAAGTAATACAGCCTATATTTTAAAGGGAGATAACTGATGTATGACTGAGAGTAGATATCCTGAAAGGACACTAAGGCAGAATCTACACTATGTGAAAAAAAGCAATTTGAACTAGCTGTACTGCTGGCAGTATCTTCCGGGGAACAGCCGAGTCACACTTAAGGCGAAGAGGTGAAGGAACCATTCTAAAGAACTGGGGAATGGCAGGGAATTGTCTCTGCCATGGGACACAGATTCCAGGGGGAAAGTATGTAAGGAAAAAGCAATAGGTTGAGGAGAGCTATGTGAAGTATGGGGATTTTATAGCAATAGCACAGACTAGATAATGTGAAATGTTTGGGCTTCAAAACAACTAGATATGCTGAACCAAATCTAGCAAACAAATTTGCAGATCCAGAGACAAACCTGTAAGACAGTAAGGAAATCCCTCAAAGAGTACAGATAAAGAGGGGACTCAAAACCAGGTCAATAAGAGTATGCTCGTGTTGCCGCTGTCTCAGTAACCAAGGGATTAGTCATGGGGTACACTGGGTGCAACAACTGGACCCATAGGGGGCATCCCGATTTGCAGATGCCATGCTAGCCTGTGGAACTTGTTTGAAAATACACCCAAGTTGTTTAAGATAAATAAGAGTATGAACAAGATGTACTGAGAATTCAGTTATTTTCCCACGGATTCAATAATTCAAGCTTTAGAATACTTAAAATATAGCCCCTCGTGGGTAGCAGTGTGCATAGCTATGCTCCAGCGCGTGCGTGGAGCATAGCAGTGGATCCTGGCTCAGAGGGGTCCGAATACTCCAGGGACCATACTTTTGAAAACTTGTAACCACTCCTGGGAAAGAATTTCTCCTTCCGTTTCATTAATCATCGGACTTGTTGGGCCTGGCCCAGAGCGGCTAAAAGGTTAACAGGGGGTTACCATACCTTGGGATGATCTGTCGACTTCCGGGAAGTCTCCCGCTGTCTGTGGCCCCAGTTGGGCACAAAAAAGGGAAAGAATCACTCGACAGGGCGAGGGTCCAGATGAGAGCCTGGAGAAGGAGGTAAAACCCAAACCCATTACTGAAAATAGCCGGCACCGGTTTAAACGAATTGACCCTCGCGTTCCTCTCAGGTACACCGCCTGCACCCAGAGTGGCACCCAGCTGCTTCGCGACAACGCATGCGCCCTGAGCAGCGCTGCGCCCACACTCGCACGTGCGCCTGCGCAGCCGTGAGTTTTCGGAGCCTCTCCCCAGGGCCGGGGAGTTGCTGCACCCACCAGGGACTTTTGTAGCAGTTACCTAGTAGGCACTGCTCCGCAGGGGAAGGTAAGGTGAATTCATATCTGAGAGCTTTTGTCTCCAACTGTTTTATGCATTCTTTGTTTTATTCTGGGACATTCAGTTGCTATCTCTCCTGCTACCTTAAAGTAGTCTCCCCGGGGAATTTTAAGCTTGTTTGGAAGCAGCCCTTGCACAGGGATCCTTTTTCTTTTTTAACCTAGAAACATCCAGGATTCGATGGACACCTCAGAAATGTTATTCCTCCGAAATGTCATTCCTCCTTGGCCTTCAATAGGACACTGAATTCTAAAGTTGAATAATAGATACTTTGAAGAAAGGAAAGAAAAAAAGGAAAACTACTCCCAACCCCCACACACGTTTACATACACGTATAATCTCGAAGAATGAACCGGAAATGCTAACTGTGACTACCTCAAGGGAGAAGATACAGGGTGGCTGAGGATGGGCTGAAGAATGGGTTGTGGGAGAGAGGTGCATTGTTTGAGGTTTGACCAGTGCGAATGTAGTGTATTAAATGTTTGAATGTTTGACTCTATCAAAATGTAGACATAAAGAAAATTCAGAAATTTAAGAAGTCTGAGTATAATTTAGTAATGCGTGATAGCATATGTGCGTTTGAAGGGAAAATGTTTTGTGTAAACTGCCAAGTCTTCCTGTTTACTTCTGGACAGAGATCTCTGGGGGTTGAGGAGGCAGTGGGGTACAGGAAAAGAGGAGCCAGGCATTTTCCGAAAATTATCATCAGTGGCACCATACAGGAAACAAATCTTTATCATCTTGACCATTGTATATTCCTTTTGGATTTGCTGAAGAAAAATTGAAAGGTACATTTTAGCGTGCGCTCACTGAACAGGGACATTTGATGTTTATTTTTGTAGAGGAAATTAAGTGGGTGTGACCGTCAGCCTTTAGACTTGAAGTTCCTCTTCCAGATATGGAAAACTTCCCTTAGTGAGGAATCTCCAGACTGATTATGGTGCATTTCTGCCCCAACCTTGCAAGACAACTTCAGATTTCCTCCTCTAAACTAAATGGTGAAGAAAAAATTAGGCAACTGCGTCTAAGAGGAATTGCAGGAGAAAAGCTCATACTGAAAGAAGATCCTGGACACCTATTATTACCTGGGTCAACTCAGCCAGTTCACCTCTGTTCCCCAGTGGCTCTAGACAAGTATAGGAATTTGGGACCAGAGATTGGGGATCCAAAAAATTGAAAGTGTGAAATTTAAGGCCAGAAGTTGAGCTCCCAAATAAAATATTTTAGAAGTAGTGTATCTTAAGTCACTCCAAATGTGACAGATAGTAAAAAGCTAGGAAAACTCTTGGGCAAGTGGAATGGGGAAACTGAGACAAGAAAATTAAACAAGGCCAAACTGAGCAATTTACAGCTGTCTGGAATTGTAACACCTTATCTCTCCTAACCAAGAACATTTGAGAACCAATGGTTCATACCTCTTCTCCTTAACCAGAGAGTACGTAGCTTAAATCTCTCTGGTCTGAGAAAATAGAGGGCAGAGACCCAATTAATGTCATTTTTGCCAGCTAACCCGGGGACAAATGAAGTCAGGGGAACAAATAACAAAAACTCCATTAAAAGATAGACCCAAGATAAAAGTAAAACAGCATGGCTGACCAAAGAATATTCCCAAACCTGCCTATATACTCGTTTTGAAACATCAGCATATTAATAACGCACTTGGAAAGTTGATGAATATTCTGCTGAAACCCTCCCCTAAGATTCTCACCCACAGAAAAAAGGTAAAAAGCCTTCAGGACAAAGACTCTAGGTGGCCTGCTCCAGAGCATGCCCATGCCCCTTCTTGGGCACCAACTTTTTATTTCCCCCTAAACTCTAAGAGTCCCAAGGAGACTTGCAGCTAGGGGAGCAGTGGGCAGTGGTAGGTCGACCCCAGGATTATCTTCAATCCTGTCTCCAAAGGCTCCTTTTCCTCTGACTTCCCGATGAGCTAAAAACAGCCCCACTTTGGCTCACTTTGTGCCTGTGACCTTCACTTCCCAAGGAGCTAACAGCAGCCATGGCTCATTCCTTTCCTATGACTCTTCTGGGTAGCTAAAGCAGAGCACCACCTAGGCTCTCTCCTGTTACTCCTTCTATCCGAAATCCTTCCTTCGTTTCCCTGTCCCCAGCCATAGTAAACATATTCTCAAAATCACCTTGGACTCTTATAGTGAAATCTTTCCCACACAAAGTCAAGAACTCACACACGACAGGCTGGCCTGAGGCAGACCAGCTCCAGGCCGGTTCCCGTCTGGTAACACAAATATCAGTACTTCTACAAAGAAATAAGGCATCAATCAGACTGAGCAGTGAGCAGCATCTAGGGGTGGAAATTCCCCCGCAGAAGAGAAAAAACACATCACAGGAGAGGAAAGCATACTTAGTAAGTTTTATTTTTTTTTAAAAAAAGAAGAACAATAATTTATGCCTTTGGCAAAATAAAGGATCTTGTTAATACAAATGCTTCTTAGAAAACATATGAAAAGATAATATAATATATATATCAATAAATCAATATTAACATTACAGCCAAAATAATAATGATTCTATGACAGTGACAAGTGAGGATATCTGTGGCCCTTACAGAGCAGTGTTTCTGGAAGGTCCTATGATTCCTTTTTTTTTTTTTCAGTACAGATGTGTCTTCATTTTAAGAAAGCCTGATACACACATATCTAAATTTAGAAAGTCAATCAATTAAAGGATATCTACTTACATTACAAAATAATTCTTTATAAAAAGAAAACAACAGAAGTGTTTCTGTAAGGGATACTTTGAATTAGCAAAGTTTCCTGATGTATTTAGAATGTAATTAACCAAATACATGTGCCCCAACTTCATTACAACTATTGCATAAAGTGAGGTATACCTGAAGTTAGGCAGTAACAGAGTTGGGCTTCAGATATGACTAGAGAGAGTATGTTCTTACAGAATGAGGGGGAGAGGTTCTCTCAACCTCTTGTTTTTCTCATCCTAAGCTCTTAATTTTCTTGTTTCTGCTGCTTTCTGGTAACTACTGTTCACCTGGTACTCTCATAAAAAAGAAAAAGGAGGAAGTCATCATAAAAGGGGGGCATATCAATCAGTCAGTCACTCCAGCAGAGCAGAGTAGGACGAAAATCTGGGATTTAGAGTGTGTATACGGATATAGGTGGGGGAAAGTAGGGGCCATTCTGAGCCCTCAATGTGTTTTTGAGGCCCCTCTCCCAGCAGGGGCACCTGACTCGAGGAGCAGCAGGGCCCAGTCCAGTTCTACCTGGACGGGACACACTGAGGAGCATGGACTCAAGCCTATTTGTCACACTCCTCCTGGCTCCCTTCCGCACAGTGGTAGTGCTGCTCACAGAACTCCTGGATCCGGCTACAGGCCTCCAGCATCATCACTTCAGGGACTGTGATTACCACTCGGAAGAAATTCGGGTACTCGAAGCACTGCAAAAATAAGAGCCTGTTATTCTCAGAGCGATTGAACCTAGTCACGAACCACCGCAAGAAGCAGTGATGCCACTTACTCAGCGCTATCAGTTCACTCAGTTTCCATCGCTGGGACACTAAGTCATAGCAGTTAATTCATCTTAAAAGGGACTTGTGGGACAAGGTTGATTTCCCCTCACCTAGAATGTTCCACCATATCCTTTCTTCCCAGAATGGATGGGAAAATGATGGAGAGAAACAAATTTTAAATAGAGGCCATGGGACACATCAGTTTGAATCTCATCAAATGAAGATACAGTTTGTTGGGTGAGGAAAGGTCAGGCTAAAGATGAGCTCAGGGACAGCTCCTGAGGCTCTAGAAACTGTTGAGAAGGTCCTGAGAGAGATACAAGCACTCACCGTTGCCGGGAGGCAGTGGACAGATTGTTCAGCAACTAACCGCTCTGTGAACTCCACGTCATTCTCAAATTCTGGGAAATGCTCCATCTCAATTTCTACCTATACCAATAACAGGGAGAGGCAAGTTTATCAGAAAGAGGGAAAACAGGCTGACTCCCTGTGCCATAAATTAGGTGGGGACTGCTATAAAAAATATCTTGGAACTATACAACTGGTAAATAATTTGATAAGTTCTAGCACTTATGAGCTCATGGAATTTTCCACAACGAAGAGATAATACGTTTACATTAATATTTTAGTTTATTGAAGGGTTCCTTCCTGTATGCTGATAAATGAAAGCTGGAAATAGAATGCCAGTGTTTCTCATAAAAGGTACTGCCAGCCTCATGGCCAGGTAATTCTTGATTGCATGGAACTATCCCACCCATTGCAAGATATTTAGCATGCCTGGCCCACACAATGCCAACAGCATCCCATCATTCTAAATTCCCGTACATTCCCAAATGCCCCTAGGGGACCAGTATCATTCCCAGTTGAGAACTACAGTGGTGTAGAGAGCCTCTTATTTATGTCCTAACTCTTCCCTGTGTGTACATATAAAATAAGTATATCAAGTAATGAATTCATTTTAAGAGAATTGTTTGTTTTTTTTTAACAGTGAGCACAGATCACGTCAGTGGAACAATTCAGAACAAGGTAATTCCTGAAGAGACCGGCCCAGGAGCCCAGTTCTTTGTGAGCCCTGCAGACTACTGGCTTTCCTTGGCCTAACCAGGAGTGGCTGCCACCCACATTCTTACCATGAGGTACATGGCCCCCGAAGGGCGGACTGGCCGGAGTCCAGGGATGGCAGCCAAAGCCCCATAGCACAGATCAGCATTGGACTACAAGAGGAGAAAGATTAAAAATTAAGTAAATGAAAAAACAAATCATTAAAAGGAGAGCCCAGATCAAAGGCAAGGAACCTAAGTTTGTCCTACTGGCATAAGGAGTCAACAAGAAAAAAACCTGCTGCCTGAAGCTTTTGGCCAGGAGCAGAGTGAGTTGCCAGAAGTTAGAAATGTATGGGTGGAGCCCTGGCTGGCATGGCTCACTGGACTGAGCACAGGACTGTGAAGTAAAGGGTCGCTGGTTCAATTCCCAGTCAGAGCACACATGCCTGGGTTACAGGCCAGGTCCTCAGTAGGAGGCATGTAAGAGGCAACCACACATTGTTGTTTCTCTCCCTCTCTTTCTCCCTCCCTTCCCCTCTATCTAAAAATAAATAAATAAAATCTTAAAGAAAAAAAAAGAAATGTATGGGTGGATACCTGCATGGATGCCACCTCCTGATTTGGAAGCCCCGTCATGGAACATTGCTCCAGAAATGAGGACTGTCATTCTGAATTCCACTGGTGACATTCACTGACCCCCAAAGTGAAAAGCCACAGGCTACCCTTACCTTCAGGAAGCTTAGAGTGTTGTGGTAGAACTCTTGAGGGGTGCGACGCAGAATGCTTTTCAAAGCTCCCTGGACAATGGTGCAGGGTCCCAGGATCCGCTGGCTCAGCTTTACCAGCCCATCTCGGATCTAAAAGGCCCCCAGTAAACACATTCTTTAGCCTTTCTTAAGCACCTCAGCTTTGGGACCATTCTTTCTATCAGTCTTTACATCTCTGTTCTGATCATTCTTTCTATCAGTTTTTATAGCTCTGGAGAAGTGATGGTGCCTAGTGTTACTCTTAGATCAGACCACCTGGTTCATAGTCTGCTTCTGTTATGCACCTGCTGTGTGACCCTGGGAAAATTATACAAGTTCTCTGTGCCTCACTTTTCTCAACTATAACATGGAGATAATACTATTACTGGCCGCAGAGGGTTGTTGGAAAGATTAAATTAAAATAATGTATATAAAGTATTGGCACATTGTATGCCTGCAAATATTAGGTGTATTACTGCATTTGTTTCCTTTTCAGTGGTCCAAAAACTGGAAGCAGATGGGACTTCTTGATAGAGCCAGGTACAGAAAAACTGAATTTGGAGAAGTACCATCTTTATCTAGTATCTTTCTAGGCACCCAAAATTACAGGACCCGGGAAGAAAGAGAAAAAAGCTCCTCCTCCCAACCACTGTGCACGTAAAGTAAATATATATCCCAAATTAGACATACCACATTGCTCTCACCTCATTGCCAAAAATGTCTCTTCGGTCATGGATGAGGATCCAGCCCAACCTCCAGCCAGGAACCAGCCAGCGCTTGGCCAACCCCCCACAGGACAGGATGGGGACATTGCTGCTGAGGTTGGCCAGAGGCTCAAATTTGGAGTCAGAAAACACCTGAGGAGGAAAAGAGCCTGTTGTTGTCTTCTTGCTTCCCCTCCTCCACATCCCATGCCTCCTTCCCTTTTCTTTATATCACTAGGGCCAGGGCCTCGGGTTTGGGGGCCCATCCCTACACTGAAGCATGATTGGGATCCCAAGAGGCTTTTAACCTGGTGTCTGGTCTGGATTAAAGGAAGCCTACAATGAGGAAACTGACCCTAGCCCTGTGATATGGGCAACCCCTTGATGCCAGTTCTAGAGAATGAATGACTGTTGGCATTATAAATTTTAAAATATCCAAATGGGTCCACAACTACTTACCTGAAATTCCAGGGCCCAAGTATGTTACAAAATTATTTGGACTTCAGAAAGGTTATATAGCACATATACCATATATTATATAGCACCCCAGAGCACTCTGGGATAGCACTCCACATCAAGCATATTAATGATTCTATCCCTTTCCTACATTCTTGTACAGGCCGTAAGTGAGAAAAATAGAAATCTACAAATATCTATCAGCCAAGTCAGGTTTTGCCACCAAATGAATTCCAAAAATCTTTGGATTTTCATAGCTTTCTGGATTTCAGACAACTGGCTAAGAAGTCACAAATCTATTTATTTGTGAAGAGGGCAGGTATATTGACTTGTACTGAAATGATTAGGAGTTGCTTCTAATCATTTAGAGTTGGCATGTTTTAGATGCCACCTCTAAAGTCCCCATGAAATAATTTGGAGTTAAGATTATTGTAGTGAGAGACCCTGTGCAAGACTCACCATGTCTCCATAGATCTCATCAGCTAAGATGGGGACACACTGCCTTGCAGCCACTGAAAATAAGAAAAACACACGGAAATCATTATTAACATGGATCGCCTTTGCACTTAATTATTTACCTGGTCTTACTGTGTTTCGCATTTCGTGTTTTTGTGTTTTGTCTTCCTGTTTAAGAATTATAAGTTCGTATTATACACTTCCAGGATACAAGGTCTAAATTTGCTATTTAATAAAAGAGACATTTCAGACCCTCTCTTCCACAAGGTGCGGTGCGGGTGGGGAAGCAGCAAGTCCATTTCCTCTTTTTCTCCCTCTTTCAGGCAAGTCCTACCGTTCCAATGGCACTCTTTTCACTAGAGACCCTCAAGGGGCTCCCCTACCTCCATCCTACACTTTGAACTTAGTGATGGACTCTCTTCTTCTTTTTTTTTTTTTTTTCATTCCAAGAAATGGCTAACGGATTCCATCCACCCCATCTCCTTTCCTTTCAAGTGAAGTCTGCTGGACTCACCGGCCAGAATCTTCTGGAGATGACTTCTACTGAACACTGACCCACAGGGGTTCGATGGATTATTGACAATGAGACAGGCTGTCTTTTCATCAATCAGAGATTCCAATTGTTTCAGGTCAATTTCCCAAGACTTCTCTGGCTGGGGAGGAAGAAAGGGTGAGACTAAGATGATTCTGAGAAATTTAGGGAGCATACTCATTTAACTCCAAGGTGTAATGTAACTAATCAAATGTGTCTGTGGTGTCGACCACTCACGTCCAGATCTTTTTCTGCTAGGATAATGCTCACCCATTTTCAGGAAGTAGTGAGCACTTGTGCACTTGTGTCTAAAATTAAAAAGTCATTTACCAATAAATTGTAGAGTTTGACCTCGATCCCCATAGATTCAGCCAAAGTCCTGTAGAGAGAGAAACCGGGTCTCGGAACCAGGATGTTCTGCCCCGGGTTGGCCAGCACTGCTAAACAAAGTTCAATGGCCTGACTGCAGCCACTTGTCAGAATGACATCCTGTGAAGAAAAAAAAAAAGGTTCATTTTGTTAGTAGTTCCAATTGCAACAGGAGAACAGATCATCAGATGTGTGAGTGGGGCACAAAAATAGATTACTTTTTTAAAAATCTTAAATAAAATAGTAGGGACTGTACTAAGCCAAAAATGAAAGAAGGTAACATGCTTGTCTCTGCCCATATCTAAAGGCTGTTGGCCACTTAAAAGAAATAAACAAATCACCTCAAAAAGGATAGGTCAGCCATGACTCAGCCAACTTTCATGAGAGATCATCATGACCTTGGGTTTTTTTGCCTGCCTATTTATTTACTTTTGAGCAGAGATTTGAAGCCTGGCTCTTCTCTGAAACATGGATGAAGGGCACCTCTTCTATTAAGGACTGTGGACCCCTCATAGTAAATAATACAGGTGAGGGTAGCATGGAAACTTGGCACTACCATCAATTCAATATGTCACAATAGCTCAGTCTTCCTATTTGAGTGACCTTAAAATGAATGAGGGGAGCTACAAATTTTTAAAAGATCCTTTTGGTAAAATATAAAATGTTAATTATTTGGTGTTTATGAATTATTGGTTTTCAATGATCTCTTGCAGAGAATCATAGTGACCTCTGAGTCCTTTGAGCCTCCTTGAGACAAACACCACATAAGCTGTATGTGACATCATTATCATACCGTAATGACATTAATTATAATCACCGATTCACATCCTCATTATATAAGAAGTCCTTGAATTGTTACAGGGAAACTACCCTCACCTCCCGTTCCCCCTTGAAACCCTTATTCCTTGTGGAACAGAAACAACGAAAAGAATACAGTTTGCCCCATATTGCTTCAGAGCTGGTATCTTGTCTAAGGCTCACCTTAGCTTCCAGGGGTGCCTCGGGACAGTGGTAATAAGAAGCAATCTCTTCCCGACTGGACAGGTAACCTGGAAGAAAGGAGCAGAAGGAGGAAGCTGGAAGTTTTCATCCCGCAGCTGACAGCCATCCTACAGAGTCCCAGGGTGTCAGTGCCCTCTGCCCCTGCTCAGAGCACATACTGTGCAGTTTAGCTGTCAGCCACTGTAAAGACAGGAGATTCGCTTCATATTTGAGAACTTTAAAATAAGCACAAATATATAAATAACAAGAAAGAGCTCCCCAAACTATAAAATACTCTTCACTATCTTGGTCAGTCTAATTGTGTGTTTATTCTCCATAAAATACAAGATTTAGATTATTCCCAAAGCCCTTCGGAAGACTATATCGTTTTTGAAAAGTTGTAATCATTGAGTGTGATACATTGGGTCCATTTTCAGTTTTTCCCTTATATCCCTATTAGTGTTTTGTACAATTTTGTTCTTTTAAATCATATTCTCATACGTTATTTCCGAATGTCAGTTTACAGGCTTGAAGTATAGACAATTTCAGGCAAATGTTCGTGTTTTGCAAAGCCGCCAGAAAGATCATTATACAAACCAGCACTTCTTTAATTACTAATATGGAGGAGCATTTTCCAAGACACACTATAGTTATTTGTGTTTTCTTTGGCATGAGTGTTCATATCCTTTGAATATTTAAGAGACTTGGTTTTGGTTTTTCAATTGAATCAGTTCTCTAATGCTTTGGTTATAAAAGTCATTACAAATTTTTTTATAACCTAACTTTTGTTCTTACTTTGTTTTGATTTTGTTGTATGAAAGTTTCTAAAATGTAAATAATCAAACTAAATCTCATGCCCCTGAAATCTCTTTGTAGTGTTTTTAATTCTATTTTAGCAAGAACTTGAATTTTTATTCTGCCTTAAGAATGTGTTTCCATGTGCACATGTACACAGGAGAAAAACGTGCAACACTGAGACAGAGTCAAGGAATTACTTATTTTACCAAAACATTTAGAGTAGAAACGTTTCAGGGATGGACAGAGTTAACCCTGAGAGAATTTCTTTCTGGCAGAAACAAACTTCTATTCTTCAACAGGACAGTCCATTCGTTGTGGTTATTGTTGTTTATTCCTCTTTAATATGAAACAATTACAATTTCACTGGGAGTATGATCGGGACCATAATTAAAATAAGCATTGAATACACAGAGAAGGAGAAATAAAGCCAAGCAGCTATTCATACAGGGCAATAAGTAGATTGACTTAGGACCCAGTAAACCAGCAGCAACAGCCAAATTCAAGGCCTTTGTTTGAGAATTAGCAGTTCTCAAGCAATGCTTGATAGGATAGGATATCCTTGATAGGATAGGAGCATTATTTCAGAAACAAGCATGTGGCTGAGCCTGGAGGGGCGGTGCAGTATGTCAAAGAAAACCAGAAACGAGTTGGACTTTGAAGCTTGTATTTAAGAATCCTAAGACCCCTTTCCTCAAATCCAAATGGCAATTTTATCTTAGCCTCTCTTTAGGAACTATGCATCAGGAAAGTGAGAAGAATTGCTAGAAATTCATTCCTATTGGGAAAGCACTGAAGATTTGGAAGCCACCACTTAGAGTCTCGGGGGAAGCTTACCGATGGAGGGGGCATAGCCGTTATACTTCCCCGAGTCCAGGGCATCCTTCATTGCTTGGGTAACTTCAGGATCTGTAGGCAGGTTTCCAAACACCGTAGGGTCCCCTTTTCATGGGAGAAAAGAAATAGCCATCAAGAGGTTACTCTTTCATGCCCAGCGCTCAGACTCCCCCTCCACTTCCATCTTCTCCCATCTGGCAAGGAGGGGTGTGAGGGGAACAATGACCACCCCTCAATCTAGTGTCCCCAACTCACCAATTGACAGAGAAATCATGGTTTTGTCTGGGTTTGGCTTCACCTTCATGCTGTCCACAATGGCGCGGATGGGATTGAAAGTGTTGTTGGCCATGTCCGAGGGCTTCACGGACCATCTGGCCTTCCTGCCTTTCCCTTTTCCTGGCAGAGAGTTCTTCCCACCGACGTTGACGTGCACGTCCAGGAGAGAGTGCAGGCTGCCCTTCCCGTTCATCTGAATCACGTATGGGTCCATCACTAGCCAAGTCTGCAGGGGGAAAGGAGGTCCCTGTGACATCGAGAACCCAGCACCATCCTGAGCAGCTATACTTGGACCTAAACACAGGGGTGATTTCACTGGCCATCTCCTGCCGAACATTTTTCTTTGTTTTGCCACTTTCTCATGAAAAATAGCTTTGTTATGAATGAGGATGGTTTTAAGACTTTTTGCTGAGATAGAAAATAAAGGAAGAAGCCATTCTATAATGTTAGCAAAGAGTATTCTGTTGAATACTAATTTACAGCAAGATTTGCTATGTGCAAACCCTAGTCCTTATAAAAGTTTAACCATGAAACTGAAGAGAAAGGACATGAAAACTATTAAACAATCAAAGAATACCTGTTTTCTCTTTCCCATGCAGTACCTGTCCAAGAAAAATCTCCCTAACCCTTCAACAGACTGTATTTTGCCTTCTGCAAACAGGACCAGGAAGAATCATTCCACATTGTCAGAAATTTAGTGTTAATATTGTCATTGGTAAAACTAAAGCACTATCCTAAAAGCATCTTTCTTCCCTATGGAAAAAGAAGTCAACACACCACAAAGAAAAAAGCACACACCCCAATCACCACCACCAGATTAGCAGAGGCTTGATATTTACCTTTCAAGTAAAAGAACCAAGCAGCCTCCAAATAGCTGAAGCAGAAAGCTGTCTTAATTCTCCTTGGACAAGTGATGATGAACTCAGATGCAATTCCTGCTCCTAAAATAGTTTCCCTAAATGGGCGTTGGGCCTGAAATGTTCGTGCTATTGGCTGGGTTGGGAACTGGGCAGCCAACCCTCTTCTTTCCTCCCCTTTTCACTTTTTGTTGCTTCTCACCTCTAACCCTACTCCCACCCCCAATGACCAAATCAGGAATTTGACCTCATCAAACATCTGGAATTCTCTGAGTTAACTCTTTCTGGGCTTAACTGTTTCTGAGTTAACTCTATCTCACATACTTTGTGAGATGATGGAGAGGACTGTCAGAGGCGTAGTTGTGATCACAAGTGATAATTTTAATTTTTTCTTACAAAATAACCTGTTAAAATTTTAACAATACAGACGTGCAAAGTAAAAGTGAGGGTCCTTCCTTGTACTAGGCTATCTGCACTCTCCATTCTGACTGTAAGGGGTAAGCAGTGGCAGTAACTGGGCCTTTTCTATCCATTTCTAGCCAAGATGGAGAGACAGTAGGTGGATGGGTGGGTAAGTAGGTTGGTAGATGACAGATACATTGATATACAGGTTCACACAAATGTTGGAAACACAGGTGGAATCATGCTCTGCAACTTGTTCCACAACATGTGTGTTTATTTCCCACATCTTGGACATCTTTCCCTGTCAGTCTACGAAGTTGTACGCCAATCAGAACAAACTGGGCAGCTGGAGTAAACTAAGGCCCACTCAGCAAATATGTGAAAAGTACAGGGTCCTCTAGGCAACCAAAACCTGTGCAACTTTATCCTTACACTGGAAATTGTCTTCTGTGGCCTGTTTTGGGGTTATTGGAAGAATAATAAGATGTCAGGTGAGATATAAACCAAACAACATCACTAAACCAGCACAGCAGAGATCTCAGCATTCCTGTGAGCCCATGAAAAATGCCACCCATTCAAAGGTTAAGAGAAACCTCAGTGACCCCATGGTTCAGATCCTATCTGTTTATTTATTGGGAGATGAAGAGTTGTTGCCTAAGCTCTTTCTTCTCCCTCTACTTTTTGTTAATTTGGTGATTCGGTGACTTGAGTCTCCTAAAGGGTGGAATGACCTTTGGTTTTTCTGGACCTTCCATTCCTCAGTGCTTTGAAAATCTTATCTCACGCATTCTCTTCCCCACTCCAGTGAAGCAAGCCTTTACCACCCCTTCTTACCAGTAGGGCAGCAGAAGCACCAGGCAAGGGCAGGAAGCAGGGCAAAGAGAATTCAAGTTCTGAAGCTGGAGCCCTGATCCCTAAGCTAGACAATCAAGGTGGCTCTGTTTCAAAAGGTGAATATGTAACCCTGTCTCTACAACACCCAAAGATACAGAAAAGGAAAGTCTTGAGTCAACTCTCCTTTTGGCACCCTATGGCAAATGGCCTGTGGTTTTGTTTTTGTAAATGCAGTTAAATACAGTATAGACAGGAGCTACTTCACAGGCTGGACAGGGTGCCCTTGGTGTAGTAGCCAACGGAGTGTGAACATGGTGTTATTTTCAAAGCACGCAGACTTTGTCCAGAGAGAAGACCACTCTTTTCCAAATGGTTTTGTTTCAATACCCTCCATTGGAAATGAAATACAATATGTACTGGAGAGATAAGAAAGGGGGAAAAAAAGCATTTATAACTCCACCACCGTTCTTAGCACTTAGTCTTATTTTTCCACCATAAAGTTGGGATCTTGTTCTATATACACATTTTTCAAAGTGAGATAAAGTTCACACAACCATATATTCACCGTTTTAGACATTCCAAAGTGGAAGACTCGGTGGTTTGTGATACACTCACAATGCTGTACAGCCACCACCGCCACCTCATTCCCAAACATTTCCATCGGAAAGCCTCTCCCCACTCCTCCTCCTGCCCCTGGCAACCACAGATCTACTCTCTGTCTCTATGGACTTGCCTGTTCCTGACATTTCATATAAATGGACTCACACCATATGTGGTCTTTCATGTCTGACTTCTGTCACTAAGCAAATAAATGTATTCAAGGTTCATCCACGCTGTGCTTGAATCAGCACTCCCATCCTTTTTACGGCTGATTAATACCCACTGCAGGGCTGTACCACATCTGTTCATCCATTCACCAGCTGGTGGACACTGGCTCGTTTACACTTTTGGTACTATGAATGATGTTACTGTTAACATTTGTACACAAGTTCTCGTGTGAACATATATAGATTTCATTTTGCTTGGATAGCTTTTGCTTTGTGAATTTTTAAATTGTAGCACAGATATTTTCCCATGTGATGAAAAACATTCCATCATAAAGTATCGAAATTTATTAAATAATTTTCCTATTGTTGGACATGACGTGGAGTCTAGCTTTTTAAAAAATTGATTTCAGAAGAGAGGAAGGGGGGAGGGAGAGAGAAACATCAATGTGAGAGACAACCTAGGAATGTGCCCATGGGAATGGAACCCATGGCCTTTTGGTGTCTGCGGCAATGTTCCAGCCAGCAGAGCCACCCAGCTGAGGCTGGGACCTCCTTTTCATAATTGTGAATGATGCTGCATAAATGTCTGTTCATATATTTATTATTTCCTTAAGATAAATTTTTCTATACCTTGATTTACTGCATTGAATAAAATAAACATTTTACTTTTAGTGTTTTAGTAATTAAAGTGTGATATATCCTCAGATCATAAATTCAAATATAGATGTTTATAAACTAAACCCTGAACACCTTCTTTCCCTACAATCGCACTCCAGAGAGATAGGCACACCAGCCATTTCTTGTGTTATCTTTCCATGTGTCTATACAGTACGTATTGCCGGGGTCCTGCCTCGGTGGGGTCTCAGGGTCCCCGAAGGATGCACGGCTCACGCGAAGAGACTGGAGCGAGATACCAGGTGGGGTGCCGGAGGACAGCCAGGCTCTCTAGGCCTGACTGACTCACCGAGAAGAATCAATCTTTATTTTTATAAGGGAGGTTATACAACATTCAATGCATAGTGTGATTATTAAAACAGCAACGATTACCATAGAAATAACTTCAAAAAGTACAGAAGGTTTTACAAATCAATCATGTTAAACAAAGGTTATTTTGACCAAGAGGGCTATCAATCAGATAGCCAACGAAACTATATTACGGGCACAAACTTTCAGGTGCCAATTAGTAACTAGGTGTCTATTAAGATTCTAGGGATTGGTCTAAGTTAAAAGGGTGCAAGGGGTGATTTATAGGTTATCTAGAAATTAGCTATTGTCCATTGAGGTTAGATTTGTCTAGGTTAGGTAACTGGGTTTTTGCCTAGGGTTTTTGTTTTATACATCTTGGGGTGGGGGCTATGTTTTGTATTCATTTCCATGTATTGAGATTATTATTTTCAACTAGAACTCCTTGCTTCTTTACACTCCTGTCCACGGTATGGGAGGGGTAGTGGCTCTAATAAATCTTAAGCTTTTAAGTGGTGACTCCTCAAGAAACATTCCTAGCAACAGCTTCCTTCAGCGCTCTGGCAGTTGGCCTGCCCATAGTTTAATTTTGTCCTTAACTTTCCAGGTGGGGGAAGTAGGCAGCATTAGGGTTGCTAGGGGTTTCTATTCTGTGGTCAGCAAGTCATTTTGCACAGAATCAGAGGCATCGTGCAGATTTTTTGTTATAACACACAGGTATCCAAAAATCCCACCACCTATTGCTAGCAGGGACAGGCATACAGGAGGAGATAGACGGGAGATGCTGCTGCAGCCACCTCTGCTGTGCAGATGCGTCTCCTCCGACCCGACTGTGTCAAGGGTCGGCTATTGGTCGGCTCCCAACAACTTATAAAGCTGGTAGTTATAAATATATTATGTATATATAATACACTTGATCTATAGCTAGTGTCCCTTATTACAGCCACTAGTCATAAGTGACTATTGAGTGCCTGTAATGTGGTTTTTCTGAACTGAGATGTATGGTTGGTGTAAAACACACATCAGGTTTCAAAGACATAAAAAAATAATGTAAAATATCTCATCAATTATTTTATATTGGCTACATGCTTAAATAGCATTCTGAATATATTGGGTGAAATAAAGTACATTATTAAAATCAATTTCACCTGTTTCTTTTTATGTTTTAAAATATTTCTATCAGAAAATTTAAAATTACTGTGTGTTTGCATTCTGTTTCTATTGGACAATGCTGTTCTACAGATTGCTTTTTAAAACATCTTAATAATATGTTGTGTGGATATTCTTCCTGTTTTCATGCGTTGAGATCAACTTCACTCCTTTTAATGGGTACACAGTGTTTGCTTACCCATTCCACCCCTTTGGACATGGGCAGCTTCCAACTTTTTTCTATTACAAATAAAATGTACTGAAAACAATTGCTATTTTATGATTGGGAATTTTTATAAGTATCTTATAATTTGTGGGACAGTTTCCTGGAAGTAGAATCACATTTCAAATGCTGGTAGACCTGCCAAACTGGTCAACAGCTGGGCCGTTAGGAAGAAGAAACATACAAATATCTTATTTTGACCACCTCTTGGAGTTTAGACTCCCTGCCAGGATATCATAACCAGTTTGAGAGGTCACAGAGGGAATCAGCTGAGGGTTTTCTAGGGGGACAGAATCTCAGAGGTTAAGACCCTCCATGATATTGGCCTTAGCAAGAGTCAAGTCAAACAAAGGTAGGGTTTTCTTGAAGGTAGAAGATTTTGTGACTGATCTTTTCCACTCAAGGTTGGGACTTTCAAGGATCCCAGCTACAAATGAGATTCAAGCTCAACTCCTCCTGCCACATACCCACACAGCCTGAAGGCTGGTGTCCTATCCCCACCTGGAAGTCAAGGCAGGAGCCTTAGATTGTTCAAATAATCCAGGGCAGCAGCACTATTGCCCCCCGACCCACCCACCCTCACTGGTTTTCAGTTCCTTGTTGTTTGGCCCCTGGTGGCATTCCTTTCTTATCTTGGGAGCTCAAGCATTTTGTTATATTTTATCCAACATTTCTAAACATCTTTACAATTAAAGATTTTTCCTGAGCTCAATATTGTTTACAATGAAAGTCTCTGTTCTTGTTCATTTGAAATGTCACCTCTA